GTGTGTGAGGAAGACCTGAATTCAAATCCAGCTTCAGACACTTACTTGCTATGTGACCTCTGGGCAAGTAACTTAATCACTGTCTGTCTCAGTTGCCTCATCTGAAAAACGAGGAATCTTGAGGTGGCCCGATAATAATAACTCCTACCTCCCTGGACTGTTCTAAGGATCAAATTAGATTAGTAAAGCACTTAACACAGTGCCTTGCACATAGTAGCCTAAAATAAATGCCTGTTGACAAAAAAAAAATTTAATTAAATTAAGAATCCCTGGTGTAGGGGAGGGGCAGAGGGAAAGAATCCCTGGTGTGGTAGAAAGAGCATTGAACTTGAAGTCAAGAAGACCTAGGTTCAAACTTGACCTCTGACACTGTCTATCTGACCACCAGCACATTATTTAATCTTTCTGAGCCTCAGGTAACTCAGTCAACAATTATTAAATGCATAGTGTGACCCTGGGCAAGTCATTTAACTCCATTTGCCTCAGTTTCCTCACCTGTAAAATGACCTGGAGAAGGAAATGACAAACCACTCCAGTACCTTTGCCAAGAAAACCCCCAAAATGGAGTCACAGAGAGTCAGACAACTCAACAACACGTGCCAGGCCTTAGCACAACCAAAAGAGAGGCAGGGACCCTGCCCTCAAAAAGCTCCATTCTAATGGGGGAGACAACATACAAATAACTATGTGCATCCAAGATACACATAGAGTAAATGGAAAGTAATCTCAAAGGGAAGCACTAGCAGGGGGGGAGAAAGGACAAGGAAAAAGGCTGCTGCATAAAGTGAGAAGAGCCAAGTCTTATAGAAAGCCAAGGAAGCTGAGTCAGAGGTGAGGAGGAAGAGCATCCCAGGCAGGGAGGGATGGGTAGAGAGCCAGAGAAGATGCACCAGGTCAGGAAATGGATCATGATTTTGCGAGAAATTCCTTAAAAACCTAAGTTACACACTGGCTGTGATCAGGGTAGAGTTAATGTATTAATGGGAAGGGGTTGGAGAACACAGCACATCTTCTTAGCTGAGTGAGCTTCATATTTTTTTATGGAAATGTCTTTTTTTGCAGGCACTTTATTTTTTATTGTCTCTCATTTTTCATCTCGCTAGAAGTTATGAAACAATGTTAGGAGAAGATATATAGAAATACTGAAAATGAAACCCCATTCTCCAAGCTATTAAAAAGAAAACGTGAGTTTCCCCTGCAGGGTGAGAAGGTTTTCAGCTAGCACCATACTAAATAATACAAGAGGATTGTGTTAGTTTGTTCTTAGAATCACAATGAAATAACACAACAAAAATGGATTCTCCTGAAACCCTCAGGATTCACAATAGGTCAGGTGAATTCATACCCTGAGGGTAGTCAGGATTAATTACCTTTGGTATTATAAACTGTCAGGGCAAACTTTTTTGTTACTTCACACCTGGCCTTATGAATAACACCTTAGGAGAGGCCATATACCTTGCAAAAGGTTCAATTCCATTTTACATACATTGAACTATAACATCCCATTCATGGGGATGCATGTGCAGTGCCATTCAACGGGCTAGTGTCCAAGACCAGCTTCCTTTTTGCATCCTAATTATTTGGGCGGATAAAGTTAACTATGTCCCAGACAGGTGAGTGGAGTTGGACCAAATCTTCAAGAATGTTTTGTAGAATTTGGAACTATGCCCAAAAGATTATAAAACTGCATACCCTTTGACCCAGCAATACCACCACTAGGTCTGTATCCAAAAAGATATTTAACAAAAGGATAGTGACCTATATGTACAAAAATATCTATGGCAGTTTTTTTTGTGGTGCCAAAGACTTGGAAACTGAGAGGATGCTCATCAACTGGGGAATGTCTGAGCAAGTCATGGCATGTGATTGTGATACTATTGTGATATAAGAAATGACAAGCAGGATGGTTTCAGAAAAACCTGGAAAGACTTATATGAGCTAATGGAAAATGAAGTGAGCAGAACCAGGAGAACATTGTATATAGTAACAGCAATACTATACGATGATCAACTGTGAATGACTTGGTTATTCTCAGCAATACAATGATCCAAGATAATTCCAAAAGACTTATGATGAAAATTGATGCTATTCATCTCCAAAGAAAAAAAAATTGATGGAATCCGAGTGGAGATTGAAGCGTGCTTTTTTTAACTTTATTTTTATTGGGGTTTTTTGGTCTGTGTTTTTTTTTTACAACATGACTGATATGGAAATGTGCTTTGCATGACTGCACATGTATAACCTCTATCAATTTGCTTGCCTTCTCAATGAAGGAAGAAGGCAAAGAGGGAGGAAGAGAATTTAGAGCTCAAAATTTTTAAAAATGAACGTTAAAAATTTTTTACATGTAATTGGAAAAAACAAAATATTTAATTTTTTAAAAAAGAACACATTGCAGACCCACTAACTGTGGCTAAAACAGAATGCTTACATTTTTTGTTTTGAGGGTTCAGTCAGGATTTGGTCAACAGCATTTATCAAGCTAGAGCAGGGATTCTTGGCCTGGGGTACACAAACCTAAAGAGTCTATAAACTTGGATGGGGGGGGATAAATTATATCTTTATTTTTATGAACCTTTCATTGAAATTTAGCATTTCTTTAGATTACGAATTTAAAACAAATATTTTTCTAAGAAGAGATCCATAGACTTCATCAAACTGCCAAAGAAGATGACAAACTCTTGAGCTGTCATATGTATCATGAGTATCATATTGCTTGCCATCTCAATGAGTGGGAGAGGGGATGGAGAGAAAAAAATTGGAACTCAAAAATCTTTTAAATGAATGTGAGAAGTAAATAAATGGACTTTTGAAAAAAAACTCATGCTAGAGAGTGTGTGATGATCAGAATATTATTAAAGGGTCATAGACTTAGAGTTAGAAAGGACCGTTCATTTTAAAAATGAAAAACCGAGAGACCCAGAAAGACTTAGTTATCTATCCAGAGTCACACAGATAGTAAATAAAGGAGCCAGGATTTGAACTCACATCTCTCAACTCCAAATCCATTGCTCTTTGTACTGGACTGCCAGTATCCCACTAGCTAATATTCTATTACATTCCTACACCTTCAACTTCCCTTTCCACACTTGGTTCATATCCCAACTCCTCATACACTATCAGGTCATACTGACTACTTCCTGTTGGTTATCCCAGGTCATTGATCATGGGATCATACAGTAAAGCTGGAAGGCACCTTAGAGGGCACCTAGTCCAATCTCTTCATTTTACAGATGGGGAAACCAAGGTCCAAAGAAGTTAAGTGATTTGTCACTTAAGTCACAGACCTAGTAATCAGTGAAAGAGGCAGGATTGGTCCTCCAACTCCAAATCCAATCCTCTTTCTACTAGACCATAGGTGGCCATTAAAGACATAGAAAGCAAAATTTCCTGTCCTTACAGAGTTCAGAATATTTCTAGGCAAGGAAAATATACTTATCACTCATTTCCAGAGACATCACAATTGCAAATAGGCCGCTTTTCCCTGCCTAAAATTTCTCTCAGTGCTTAAGCAAGCTTATAGAAAATGAACAAAAAAGATCTGGTCAAACACAAACTATTTTCTTTCAGTCCACTCTTGGCTGGACTTCCCTTGTCAGCATCAGTGAAGGTAAGGCTGTTTTCTTGGTGCAAGTCTTGTGATACTGCAAAAGAATTAAAGGTTAAGAGGCACATGAAAGGTGATGGAGAAGCAAACACATCAAAAGATGTAATACAGCACATTACCCACCAGGAATATGTATGATCAGAAAAGAAGGTGGGCTAATAACTAACTCATGGAGCTCTTGTGTACTCCATTGGTATCCACCCAATATCTAGAGAAAATATCCTCCCTAGTAGAGAAAAACTGACCAACACACCAACACATGGGGTGGCAGTGTGGGGATGGTAGATAATTTATGGGCAAAAGCCCTACAGAATGAGTGGGCATAGATGGGTTATAATGGGCATCTTTGCAGAGAAGATACACTTAGACTGATGAGGTCACAAAATCTATCAAAATATTTTGTTTCTCCTTTCATAAGCAGGAGGTAGAGAAGATTTTTGGACAAGAGACTTGCTTGATTTTTATTTCAAAACTGATTTTGAGTTAGATTTTGTCTTTTAGATGCCAAAGAGGAGAAAGGGAAGGGGCCAGTGAGGAAGAGTGGGGGAAAACAGAGATGGCCCTAGACAAAACAGAAATTATTGAAGTTTCTTTCAGGAGCGCCTGCTTTCCCCTTTCAGTGAATCCTCATCTTCTTTTGGTCTAATCTATGTCTCCAGTACCCTCCTGGGTGTCCATAACTTAACTGTAGAGGGTTGCTAGGTCTCACTTTCCTGGTAGAAACCTATACCCTACCATCTTTTGCAAGTTCCTCCCAACCAACAGATTTTTGCTGTTCTTTGTATCTAATCTAGTGGAGGGGAAAACCTACTTAGTTCTAAAGTGCCATTCTTCAGCCTCAACTGCCTTCTCCCTCCCCTTCTCTCAATGGCAAATTCTTCCCCTTTGCAGAAGATCCCAGATCCCTTGCATGTCTTTCTGTGCATTTCACTACCATGGCTCAGCTGCTGTCTCCATCCAGTCCTGTAGGCCCTTTTCCCATTGATAGGTTCTTCTGCTTTGCAGAAGGATCCATAGCTATCTTGCTTCATTCTCCAGACTTCTCCACCACATCCCCAGTGAGGGAACTTGAGCACAGAGAGTTTAAGGGAATTGATCAGATGATAATTAGCAAAGGAAAGATTCAAGTCCAGGTCTCTTAATAATTAGCCCAACTACACCACTCTGTCAATAGTCAGTCAACAAATATTTATGAAGTGCTTGCTATGTGTTGAAAGGTTTATGGGATATTCAAGGAGAAATAATACCATTGGCATAAGGGCTTGCTGAGCCCTTTTAGGGCTGCTCATCTAACTTCAGTATCCACCTGTCACCCAATTTTTGCCTGTGGCTAGAAGAAACTATTCATTAACGTATAAGATCTTCCTTACCCACAGCCCAAGCCAAGGGACAAGGAACTTCCTTAACATATTGTTCTGGAACTTGTTTCAACCCAGACCCACCTTGGGGAACTATTCCTTAAAAACAGGTCTTGAGGTAAACATCCAGGAACTTGGCCAGTTCCTGGGTATTGACCTGAGACATTTTTCACATAACACAGATTGTTCTTGAGGTCAGAGAGTTTTGGCCAAAACTCTCAGGTCCTTAGGATTAATCACCTCTTCCCTGGCTCCCTGCCTTCTTTGTGTAAGGATAACCAAAAGGGTCTTTCTTGGGAAAGTGACTTTGGGAGTCTCCCTCAGAGAGGACGCTCTGCCGTAGGGACTTTTCCAACAGAGACCGGGAGGGCTGTGATACAGGACTCCCCCAGCCAGATGTGCAGGAGTTGGTGCTTCCTGGGACTGGTGATGTATTTCTTCTTCTTTATCTCTTTGCTTCTAAGATTGTATAATCATATGTAATCACATTTATGTGCATGTATGTTTATGATTATTATCATTATTAAATCATTTTTAAGTTAGGAAAAGTGTGAACATGTCTTTGTGGGTACAGATCCTAACTCATGAAACAAATTTTAAGTGCTGTGCAGCCCGTAACACCTCACTGTTACAATTGGTGTCACAAACAGGATCTGTGTCACAATGCCATTCCTAAAAAATTCAGGAGAAGTTAAAGTTAAAGAATAAGAAATCCCTGGATGGGAAGGACTCCCATATTCCTCCCTTGCAAAGAGTAGGCTGAGAACACTGGACCTTATGAGGATTGAGGGAGCCATCTCAAACAAGCTGAACCATCGAATGTCATTAGATGTTTAGAGGCGATCCCAATAGAAAAAGGGAAAGAAATAGGAGGAATAAGTAGAAGAGGGTGGGCTTTGTTAACAGCTTGCCCCAGTGGAGAACTATACCCTAGCCTTCAGCATTTGAAAGGGGATTAGGATAAAGGCCAAACTCCAGCACAAATTAGGGAAGTAAAGTGTAGAGATTATAGGCCCTGTATTCCCATAACTATATGTTGGAAAAACAGTTCTACCACTGTAGCAAAAGCTCTAATTGACACTGGAGCAGAGGCCTCCCTAGTTTATGGGAACGTTGATAAATTTAAACAACAAAGATCCATGATAATTACAGGATTAGAAGGGAAAGAGATACAAGCTGACCAAGTTACTATACCCATTAAAATAGGACAATTACCTTGTCGGGATTATACTGTAGTAATAGTACCCATTCCTGAATATGTAATTGGAATAGACATTTTAAGAGGAATGACTTTGCAATTGCCGGATGGACCATATCAATTTCCTGTTAGGGCCCTAACCATAAGGGCAGGGCTAGTAGAAAAACTTAAAACGTCCCCTGTGTCTTTACCACCACTCCTTAAGATCATTACTCTAAAGCAGTACTGTATACCTTGAGGGCAGGATGAAATCACTATTACTTTTAAGGAATATGTTGATGTAGGAGTACTGATTCCCACTACTACTGAATGGAATAACCCTGTATGGCCAGTGGAAAAATCCAGTGGGACTCAGAGAATGACTGTTGATTATAGGCAATTGAATAAAGCTACTCCTCCTTTGTTTGCAGCAGCACCTGACACCATTACTTTGATTGAACGTATTCAAAAATATTCAGGGCATTGGTATGCCGTGATAGACTTGGCTAATGCCAAAGTTCAATTCCCTGAAATCAGAAAAAGATGTGTCCCACTCCCCCCTAAGTAACTGTAAGTAAAGGATGGGGAATTAACCCAAACAAAATTCAGGAACCAGCACAGGCACTAAAATTCTTAGGGATTTACTGGAATACTTCATAAGGCTAAACAAAAGATAATAGCTTTTCTTCCCCCTACTAATAAAATTGAGGCCCAGAAATTCACAGGACTTTTTGGATATTGGAGAACATATATTCCCCATTTAGGACAAATATTATACCGGCTTTATATGGTGACTAGGAAGAAATACGAATTCACTTTGGGGCAAGGAGGAAGAAAAGGCCTTCGAAGAAGCCAAAGCTGCAATCCAAACAGCGGTAGATTTAAGGCCTATGGAAAATGGCCCTGTAGAATTACAAGTATCTGTCCAAGAGGGATATGCTAATTGGAGCCTATGGCAAAAAACAATAGGGCAGGAACATTCCCTTAGGATTCTGGTCAAGAAAGCTGCCCTCTGTTGGGAAAAAGTATTCACCTTTTGAACAACAACTTTTAGCTGCATATTGGGCATTGGTAGAGACAGAACAATTGACAATTGGTTGTGAAGTGGTCTTATGACCCAAAATCCTTATAATGCATTGGATAATGAGCACCCCTGCCTCTCATAAAATAGGGCATGCCCAAGAAGCTAGTTTTATTAAGTGGAAATGGTATATTCAGAATAGAGCAAAGACTGGGAAGGCAGGAATTTCTACATTACATGAAAAAGTTTCAAAATTGGGAATGGCACAAAATGAGATATCACAGGTGAAAGCCACCAGGAATTCACTGGTAGAATGCGGACAAGGATATGATAGATTAAATCCTGGAGAAAAAAAGACATGCATGGTTATGAACAAGGGAAAGAATGCCATGTATTTACAGATTCCTGGGCTGTGGCTAATGGATTAACTACTTGGATGCCATATGGAATGAAAATGGTTGGCAAATTCATGGGCAGGATATATGGGGAAAAGAACTGTGGCAGCATATATGGGATTGGTCTCATAATACTAACATTTCAGTTTTTCATGTAGATGCATATACTTCAGTGAACGCCCTGGAAAGTGAGTGTAATGCACATGTGGATCATCTAGCCAAAATAGCAACAATAAAGCAAGAAGATCAAGAGTATTATTCATTAATTAGCACAATGGGCACATTGACAAGCCGGACACCTTGGAGTCCAAGCCTTACACACGTGGGCTTTGGACAGGGAAATTTCCCTCCCAATACCTCTATTAAAACAAATACAATCTGAGTGTTCCGCATGGCAGATGGAAAAGGAGTGACCAATTCCCTGCACCATTAAAGGTGAACCAGCCCGAGGAAGGCTGCCCACCCACATTTGGCAAATAGATTATGTTGGTCCCTTACCAATGGACAGAGTTCACTGGCATATTTGTACCTGTGTAACTTATTCTGGCATATTGGTGGCATGCCCATATAAGAATGCCACTCAGAAAAATACTTGTAGGACTATAGATATCATTACTTTATATTATGAATCCTCTCTACAAATACAAAGTGACTGTAGAACACATTTTAAGGGAAAAGAAATAGACTACTATTGTTCATATAGAATGGATTTATCATATACCGTATTATCCCCAAGCAGTGGGACTCATTGAAAGGATGAATAGGTTATTAAAAGAGAAACTTAGACAACTTGTCAACAACTCTTATGCACATTGGAAAGATAATGTATTTGAAGCTTTATGATAGCTAAACAATTGGCCTCTAAAAGAGGGATTAACCCCTTTAGGATGAATGATGACCCCTAATGTTCAAATAAGGATGCAGAGGCTGAAAAATCTAACATTGCAATGGTGGGCTTGTGATCCACATTGGCCCAGAACCAGTGGTTTGCTCCATGGCATCTGGAGTGGCACAATTAGTAATTTCTACCTATTTCAAGAATCAATGGGAGCAAGTAGCAGAACTACCTTCAATTTCAACCAGGTATGGAGGATTTGGAAGTACTGATTTAAGAGTAGGATCTAAAGTATGGGTTAAAAGATATGCCTCTCATATGCTTTGAGTTGGTGAGACAGTGGCAGAAGGCAAGGATGTTACCATGGTAGTGGCATTTGTTGGAGATGACGAATTGTATCATTATCCTCTAACACAATTGTTTTTACGTGAATAGTATATTACAGTTTATCTTATACTTATTGGAAGAGCAATGGCACAATGGGAGAAGAATACACTGGTGTGGGCAACCACTGGACTATGAGACTGTTGGGTTTGCCAGGAACATCCTCAATCCAGAAAGAAACCTCCCATCCCATAGGATGTGGACTGAATAAGACAGCAGAACAAATGCACAACCATATATTTCCTCTAGATATGCTTCCTCCCCATTAATAATATCCCCTGATCAAAAGACTTTATTGAACATTCCCTGCTTTTCCCCAGGAAATCCATTCTATAATGTGACATATAATGAAAGTTAACATTTTGGGAGGATTTTAATATCCCTAGAAGAGAGGGCCCAAATTGGCCCTTCCACCTATTCATGTTTTAGTAGTGATGATTTTATGAATTTCTTGCCTAATTTTATACATATAGCTTGTGATAATTATACTCACTCTCCTACTCTATTTAATAGAATTAGTGTCTATATGTATTTGCCTACTAATTGTTCTTACTGGTTTACACTAAACTGCTTGACTTCTTTCATTTCATCAAGGTTACAAGCTTTTTTTTTTTACAAGTGAAGCCCTTGTATTGGTTCTCTCCATATGGGTGATGCTTGTGGTATGCCCCATAGGAGATGTTGTTTCCAATCCATGGATAGGTCATATCTAGAGGTCGACTGAATGGTTAATGTGTAAGATCTTCCTTACCCACAACCCAAGCCAAGGGACAAGGAACTTCCTTAACATATTGTTCTGGAACTTGTTTCAACCCAGACCCACCTTGGGGAACTATTCCTTAAAAACAGGTCTTGAGGTAAACATCCAGGAACTTGGCCAGTTCCTGGGTATTGACCTGAGACATTTTTCACATAACACAGATTGTTCTTGAGGTCAGAGAGTTTTGGCCAAAACTCTCAGGTCCTTAGGATTAATCACCTCTTCCCTGGCTCCCTGACTTCTTTGTGTAAGGATGACAAAACGGGTCTTTCTTGGGAAAGTGACTTTGGGAGTCTCCCCCAGAGAGGACGCTCTGCCGTAGGGACTTTCCCAACTGAGACCCTGAGGGCTGTGATACAGGGATACAGGACTCCCCCAGCCAGATGTGCAGGAGTTGGTGCTTCCTTGGACTGGTGATATATTTCTTCTTCTTTATCTCTCTATCTTTCTGTTAATAGTCTTTGCTTCTAAGATTGTATAATCATATGTAATCACATTTATGTGCATGTATGTTTATGATTATTATCATTATTAAATCATTTTTAAGTTAGGAAAAGTGTGAACATGTCTTTGTGGGTACAGATCTGAACCCATGAAACAAATTATAAGTGCTGTGCAGCCTGTAACACCTTACTGTTACACATGCACATCATCCATACCCTAGTAAAACCATCTTGGCAAATGGGCTAACCCAGGTTGAGGGTAACTGACAGGCCTTGAACCCATCAATGAGTTAAGGAGGTGTCTACCCCAAGCATGTGAAGACTTCCCCTGGTGGAATGGATGGATGAGATCAATTTGTTCCAATGGCCATGAAGACAGCTGAAGCAGGTGCTGTGGAGCACTTAACAGCTTGGTCAGAAAACGAAGACTCCATGCATCCTGGGCCATCTCCAGTCTCTTGACTTTTGCCTTGCCTCTGGATTTCAGTGACTCTGGAAGAAAGAATAAGGCAACTCTGCCTCATTTAAATCCAGTTCACATGCAAATCAAGACATCACTGGTCCTCTTTGAAAATGAAGGACAAACAACAACAACTATGTGTTAGAAACTGTGCTAAGTAGGAGAAGACAACACATTAAATGGATCTGAAAAGGGGGATTTGGCTAATGAGTCATCAGAGATGCCTGGAAAGGGATGAAGACATCTTTAGCCTGGGCCTCCTCCTCCTCAAATTGAAGGTTCTAAGAGGAACTACCCAGTCAGGCCTCAGGGTTGGAGAGTACCAATTTTGGATGCAAACAGGATGAAGTAAACTTTAAAGGCGAAGTAATTCCTTGAATGACAAGTAGCAGAGAGAGGCTCTGAAAGTGTCACTGTTAAGCTAACTCTCCTTCCTGGCCCTGTATGTTAAGGGCTGTGACAGACAGACATGGAAAGGGTGCTAAGAGTGTCTGTATCCTCAGGGGAAAGCTAAGTTTCAGGGAACAAAAGAAGATGGTAGATGTAATAGGATTTATTAACAATCCAGGAAGCTTCCAAATAATACTGGGTAAATGAAAGGCTTAGGGGAGTTAAGAACTGGAGAAGGCTGGGGCTGAGTTTACTAAGGAAGTAGTACAATAGCAGCATTCAGTTGCCATTGCTTCGACTCCTGACCCAGTGTTGATCCTGCGTCTCACAAGGTGTAGGTCCAGAGGCTAGGGCTCTTATAAGGTTAGAGGGAAGGCCTCTTGAGGAGAGAAGTCTGTTATTGGTTCTGATCCAGTTTGGACTGTGATTGCTCTGTGATTTCATGACAGAGAGGAGAGAAGAGGGTCTCCTCTACTACAGCATGCCCTCAGATATATGCTGTTCTGTACATTTTTCTCCAAGAGTCTGTTCTTTGTTAGAGCTGATATTCTTAAACTAAACTGCCAAGCATTCAAACTTAACTGCAGAGAACGCAACTGTGATGGGCTGGCCATATTGTTTGAATACCAAACGTATGCTTTCCTAAAACACTATTTTATGGAGAACTCACACAAGGCAAGTGCTCGCATGGTGGTCAGAAGAAGAAAAACGAGGACATTCTCAAGGTCTCTCTGAAGAACTTTGTCATTGATTGTGTCACGTGGGAGACACTGGTACAGGATTGCCCAGCATGGTGTGCCCTTATCAAAGAAGGTCTGCCCTCTGTGAACAAAGCAGCTCAAAAGAAACTTGAGATGCACAAATTTAGTGAATCTACCCAGACGTTCACACAGACTATTTGTGTCTGACCCATGGTAGAGCATTCCGAGTGGTGGTGGTCTGATCAGTCACAGTTGGACACACTGTAACTTGACTCTAACGTAGTGATGTCATTTTGGTCCTCTTCAAGAACTAGGGACAACAACTAACTAATACTACTTTATTTTTTCTCTTTGGTGAGGTGATTGGGGTTAAGTGACTTTCCCAAAGTCACTCAGCTAATAAGTGTTAAGTGTCTGAGATTGAATTTGAACTCGGGTCCTCCTGACTCCAAAGCCAGGGCTCTATTCACTGTGCCAGCTAGCTGCCCCCTCTAATACTACTTCTAATAATAAATAGGTGCCAAGCACTGGTCTAAGTGCTTTATGAATATTAACTCATTTCATTCTCACAACAATCCTGCTATTGTATATTATGAGATAGGTGCTATTATAATCTTATTTTATAGTTGTTAAACTGAGGCAAACAGAAGTTAAATGATGTGTCCAGCTAATAGGTGTCTAAGGCCAGATTTGAACTAAGATTATCATGACTCTAGGCCCAGTACTCTAACCACTGTACCACCTAGTTAATCTAGAAGTAGGGCAGGTAAGAACTGGTGATTGGGATGGAGAACCTAAGTGATGGTAAGGTTTTAACATTCCCCCATTGTAGATGGGCATTTGTTCGTGTGGTGGAGGGAAAAAAAAAAATTGGTCACCTACCCCGGTGGTTAACTTCCTAGTGATGAGCTTTCTGAATTTTAGCTAGCCTGGACAGAATAATGAATACAGTTTTACACACAATGGTTAATAAATATTTGTGGAAAGGGATGCAATCAGATCACAGTCCAACCTTGGGCCCACACTTCAAGCTTTTCCAGCTTAGGGGTGGGGAAGGCCTACCTTGTTGGTGCTCCTTCAGAAGAGCTTTTGAGAGCCCCAAGTCACCTCTACCCCATGATCAGACTGTCAAGACAGCTTCCCAAGCAAAGGGAGGGAATTCAGTCTGAGGCAAATGCCTTCTAGAAGAGGACTTGGAGACACTGGCCCCTTAAGACCCATTTAGCTCACTGGGCCTAGGACCATATCCCACTCCATCATTTCCTGTAGCTTAAATAACTGACTTCCTGAGGAAGGTGCAGGAGGTTGCTGTTATAGACTCAATAACTGGGAAAGTTTTTCCTATGATGCATTTGCCAGCCTCCTAATTAGAGGGTAAACTGGTTCTGCTGAACTGTGATATCTTCGGAAGTGGCTGAGGTTGGATGTTAGGTGGTTTTTGTTTTTTTCCCCTGAGATGACTCGCTTGGTCATGCCAGCCTGCTTCTCCTAATTGGCTGCTTCAAAGACTCTTTTGGAGTTTGAAGAGCATAAGGACTCAGTTTACCTGCAGGGTTCACAGGGTAACTCTTAAGCAATGAATAACCTTCCTTACCTCCTTACTGCCACCCCCTCACATGAGATAAACTGGCTGAACTAGTTAATTCCTTGGCTTTCTGACTTTGCCTTGGTGGGTCAACCCCAACCCCACATGGGTCTATCAAGGTGGAAACATCCCTTTCTACATTTTGCTTCTCAGAAGAACATCTGCAGATCGTCTGCGTCATAAACAAATCTGAGGAGGGGTGATCACTTTCACTAGAGTGATCCCAGAGCTGAGCCTCAAAGGGAAAAAAGTTTTCATTAAGTAGAAAAGTATGTTCCCCTGCATGGGGGTAACCTGAACTGAAGACAAGATGAAATTGGGAATGGCAAATGGTCCAGCCTGCCTGGAATTTAGAGTGTGTGAAGAAGAGCATTGTAGAATAAGGCTAAAAATTTAGGAACCAGAGCTGTTTATCTTACCACTTTTTTTGATCCAGACCTGATATTTCATTGCTATAAGGAGCTCCTGGCTGAGGAAATTTCTTCCACCAATTAAGTTGGCAACTATTCTGCAATATGATGATAATATTAATAATAATAATACTTACTATGTGCCACTGTGCTAAGTGCTTTACAATAATCATCTCATTTGATCCTCACAACAACCCTAGGAGGTAAGTGCTTTTATTATCCCCATTTTACAGATGAGGAAAATGAGGCAAACAGAGATTAAATGACTCATCCAGGGTCACACAGTTGGTAAGTGTCACATGTGGCCTCGAGGTGGCAGGTTTCCCACCCTGGTCTAAAGCCTGATTAAGTATTTTAGAAGCACTGAGAGATTAACCAAATTGCCCTGGGTGCCCCAGCCAGTATCTGATAGCAAGATGAGGACATGGATCTTCTTGACTTGCAACCCTCCCACTAGTCCATAATACCTCTCACTACACATTAAAGGGATAAATAATTTGCATCTCACCCTTGTTTATGTTGTTCTTCCCACTCTTTCATAAATCTAAAGCTGTAAGAGATCTTAGAAATCGTCACCTAGAGGGTGTTCGACCCAAGGTACCTCTCTGGTATCCTAAAGAATACAGGCATTTATGCCCATTTATAGGACTGGTAGCCTTAACTTCAACCGAAGAGCATAGGGTAGCCCTGAACAAATAGCTTAGAAACCTGATACCTCTGTGTAAGTGCTCCCAATAAAAATTTTACAGCCAATCTGGAGACTGGTAGGAGCTAACTCCAGGGCACCCCTTACAAGTGTCAACAACAGGCAAGGCACTAGAGATGCAAAGATGACAAATGACATGACCCCAGCTCTCCAGGGGCAAGCCATGTATTGAATGGGACATGACAGGTGCACAGATCATGATTACACAAGGAACAGGGCTTATGGGGTGCTCAGGGAGGACTGACACCTCTGGTGTGAGGGCTTGCCAAGCCCTTTTCAGGGCTGCTCATCCACCTTTGGTGTCTGACTTTCACCCAGCTTTCACTTGTAGCTCCAAGAAGCTGTAGAATGTGCCACACCCCAGTAAAACCATCTTGGCAGATGGACTAAACCAGGTTGAAGGTAACCAAGAGGCTTCAAACTCACTGGTGAGTTAAGGGTGTGTCGATGAAAACTGTTTGTTCCAAAGGGCATAAGAGCAGCTGAAGCAGATGCTGTGGATACTATAGAGCTTCATCAGACACTGAAGATGCCAAGGTCATCCACTGCATCCCAGGCCATCAATAGCGGTCCTGCCTTTTGTCTCTTTACCTGTCAGTGTCCCCAACAACTCTCCAAGACTAGAAGTCAAAGGACATTAGTCAAAGGACTTTCCAGAGAGGGATGCCGTACTTTGAAGAAATCACAAGTCCAGAGTCCCTCAAAAATATGAAAGAAAGAAAGTTAGGGTATAGTGGATAACTGAGGAAACAATCCAAGCTAAAAGATATATTATATTATCAAAACAGGCACAATAAACAGGCCAACGTACTCCCCAGTCATTCCAAAGAATACAGAGACAGATTTTTATGTATTAAAAATAATCAAATAAGAACAATTAATTAAAAGAAAACAAGTTACCAGGATACAAAATTAGATATTCTGATTTCTAATTGGAGGAAAGATTAGGGACTTTCCAAGTTTGGAAGAGGAGAGCAAACAAGTTCAATTCCCTGAAATCAGAAAAAGACATGTCCCACTCCCCCCTAAGTAACTGTATTCAATTGAAACAATAACCGATTTACCATTACTGGGTCAGTTTTCAGATAAGACATATGGGTTGTGTGAAATGTATAGTCACTAGAAAACTCCTTGCATCAGTCTTCAGGATCTGACTGGGTTTCTAGTTAGCATAACCTAGGTCCTTAGTTAAAGGTCTCTAAGCAAAAGATAGAAGTGGTGCAGCTTCCCAGTCACTAAGAACTTGGTTCAAACAATGCGATAAAATTTTCTCACAATTTCCACAATTGAATAAAGTTTTCTCACAAGACAGAAATTGGAGTAGACCCAAAACTAAGTAGAAAGGGAACTGAGCTAGAGCCAGAATTGAATCACAAGACTGAGTTAATGTGGTTCGCTCAATTCCCACAAGGGGCAAAAGAGAGATCCAAAGTCCCCTATGAAAATCTGAGAAGGAAGAACTGTCACCTGGAAAGATCAAAGATGGATCAGAGCTTAAATCCAATCCCCTCATCTTATGATGGAAATACTGAGGCACAAAAAGGTTAAGCAAACTCAACCAAGATAACACAGCTAGTCCAATACTCGATCTACTACACCACAGTGTTTCAGAGAAGATACCCCCTCAGTTGGACTGAAGAAGGAGAAGGATTTCATCTAAGAGATGAGGGAGTCCTTTCTAGAAAAGCCAGAGGAACAGCCTGTGGGAATAATGGAAACAGAAGAGAGCATGATAATGGTTTTGTTCAGCGGTTTCAGTTGTGTCTGACTCTTCGTGATGCCATTTGAGGTTTTGGCAGAAATACTGGAATGGTTTGCCATTTCCTTCTTCAGCTCATTTTATAAATGAGGAAACTGAGGCAAATAGGGTTAAGTGACTTTGCCTAGGATCGCACAACTAGTAAGTACCTGAAGTATGATTTGAACTCAGGAAGATGTCTTACTGGCTCTAAGCCCAGCACTCTGTGCACTATGGCCCCACCTAGCGGCTCTATGATAATATTAGGGAACTGCTAAACATCTGCTTTGGCTGGAAGGGATGGAAATGGTAAAAAATAATTGGTCTGAAAAAGTCAGCTGGGGCCAGATAACAGGGAATCTGAAATAAAAGGCTAAGGAGTTTGTTTTTTTTTCCCAGAGTTAATAGCAGTGACAAATTTTTTTGAGTAGGGAAGTGATGTAGTCAGATTTGTAATAGTAATATAATAATAAAAGTAAGCATTTACATAACACTTTAAGGTTTGCAAAGTGCTTTACAAATATCATCTCAGTTGATCCTCACAAAAATCATGTGAGATAGGTGTTATTATTATCCCAATTTTACAGAATAAGAAACTAAAGCTCAAAAGTCATGACTTGTCCAAGGTTTTGCAGTTAGTAAGTCTCTGAGACAGGATTTGAATTCAGGTCTTCCTTGTTCCAAGTAGTCTCAGAGCATTTGTGCCCCTTCTCTCACTCAGCAGACACAGATTATAACATTGTCCTCTACCCTCTTAAGAAAGAAGCACATCTTTTCCCCCTCCAAAAACACAGGTGCCAAAGAAGCCTGTCTTGTATAAGCTCTACCCTGGGCTAGCCCTCCCATTGAGCCTAAAACTTAAGGGTTCTTAAACTTCTTCGTGTCCTGGACCCCTTTGGGTAGTCTTCTGGAGAAGCTGATGGAGAGACACCTCAAAATAATCTTGTTAAATACATAGGATAAAAATACATAGGGTTAAAAGAAAGCCAATTGTATTGAAGAAGCCCAGTCCTAGGTCAAGTTTATTCTTGTTACCTGACTTCTTCTTTCTGGGCTGCTCCTTCCTTAGTCCTGATATTCCCTCTTATTCTTCTAACCACCAAATGCCCTTCTTCCTCTCCCACCCACCCATCCTAAGGTCATAGGTCTAGAGCAAGAAGGGACCTGAGATATAATTTAGTTCAGCTCCCTCTCAACTTTACAGATGAGAAATTTGACGCCGAGAGCTTAAGTGATCTTCCCAAGATCACACAAGGTCAGAACTGGGATTCAAACCCAGCTTTTCAATCCCGAGATCATTCCGTGATACCACAGTGGGTAATGTGGATACAGTGCCTACTGTGTGCCAGGCACCATACTAAGTGCTGTATGAGTATTATTTCAGTTGGTCCTCAGCTGAGCCCTGGGAGGTAGGTACTATTATGATCTCCATTTCACAGCAAAGGAAACTGAGTCAGAGGCTACATGACTTCCACGGGATCACAGAGTAAGTATCCACGGCTAGATTTGAACCCTTCCTAACTCCAGACTGGGCAGTCTATTTACTGGTTCACTAGCTATCCCCTCTCATTCTTTATATTTGTAACATTTAGAAAGTGCTTTTACATCATTGTCCACTCTGATCCTTCCATCAGCCCTATGAGGCAGGTAGGGTGGGTGGGTGTTATTAACTTCATTTCACAAACGATGAAACCCAAGGTTCAGAAAACTCAATTTTCTCAAGTTCAGTGCATTTCACAAGTAGTAAGCCTGGCATTTGAAGCCAGGTGTTCTTTCTACCAGGGATGGGAGGCTGGACTAAATAAACTCTTAAGGTTCCCTCTCAATCCAAGGATTTAAAAAGTCTATTTTAAAAAATCTGGTTCTGCAACTAGAGTTTTCCATTTTTCCATCCAGAAGTGGGTTGGAGGAGTTCTCTCTGCCTGCTGACAAAAACAGTCATGGGCGCCTAAGGTTTGTTGGCAGCTAACTCCCTTTTCTCCACTCTGGGATCATGGGTAGTTTCCAGCATCTCCTTTTTCAGTCCTCCCCCCAATCTTGAATTCCAGGTAACAGACCAAATATTCTAAATAAACATGGAGAGATGGAGAGGATCTGGCTGACAGTAAGCTATTTAATAAGCATTAAACACACATCTGGGGAACCACTCCATCTGAAAAAGATGAAATTCTAGGGCAGCTGAACCAAAAAAAAAAGTTTATTTGCTTTTATGACTAGCACCTGGCTCAAAGTCTTCCTTTCTATGTCATTCCCCATCCCCTCTCTCTCACTCCCCCTCTCCCCATCCTCAGAGACTTCACAATTCATGTCAATGATTCCTCTGGTGACTTGGTCCCACATTTCTCAATTTCTTCAACTCTAACAGGATCCTCAGTTCTCCATCACCACCCCTACTTTGCCCCATGCTAACAAAATCCAGCCTAAGAGCTAACCATCTCACTGAATTTTACCACCTCCAATGTGTCCAACTTTGAGTTTCCACTCTAACCAAAACCTATCTTTCTTCTACTTCTCCCACCCCCCCCACTAGCGCAAACAATCTCCAGTCCCTAGGCTTCAGATGCTAACTGGCTATTTGACCCTGAGTGTGTTACTTAACCTCAGATTCTTCAACTATAAAATTGGCGTAATGATAGCACCTACTCCATCAGGTTGTTGTGAGAATAAAATGAGATATTATTTGTAAAGTGCTTAGCACAGTCCTGTTCCATAGTAAGCAATTAAAAAATGCTTGTTCCCTTTTCCTTCTCCTCTTGTGGTCTCCTTATTTCCCTACTCTATCTCTTCGCCACCTAGATTTCACTTGCCTCAATAACCTGTGATCTGGCACTATAATCATTCATTATTGACCATCTTGGAATTCCTTACCTCCTAAAGATCTTCCACCATTACTGGTCTGCCAGTCGTCAACCCTGGATCACCCACACCATCTGACTACTCTGTTTCTGCTCTTGGGTTTCTGGTAAGTCAGTGGAGAAATGCTAAAAATTGAACTGATTTCATCCCTTTTGAATGGATGGTATATGACATCAGCTGGGTTCTTTTTTCAGACCTTGAAACTTTGGGCAAATGGCTTCACCACTTTGGACCTGAGTTCCCTTATCTATAAAGTGAGAGGATTGGATTAGACCATTTCCAAGACCTCTCCCAGCTCTAACAATCTAAGATGATATTCTCTGGCCCCACAATGGCTAATCCCAGCTACAATTGTACAGCAACCAAAAGTATCTTCTTCAATCTCCTCTTTCCATTTCAGCCTCTCTTTATACCAGAGTAAATATTTCTCTCAGATGCTTGGTACTGATAAGGCTGGGATCTAGACTGCAAAAAGGAAAAACTCTGGACTTTTCCACATGGCCAAATTTCTGGTGTTTACCTGAGGCTATAATCCCATCAACTGGTCTTTCATTGTGGCTATGTCCAATCTGTTACCCTTAACCTAGCCTAGCCCTCCATTGTCTTACCTCCCTATGGCCCCTGGCCACTTCCCACCCTTAATCCTATCTAGGCTCCATTCTCCCTTGGCCACTGTGGTCCAGGTCTCGGGAGTTCTATAACTTCATAGACTATTTGGCCACTCCTAGATCCCCCCCCATAGTTTTTCTGTTTATAAGGTCCATCTTGTCTTCATTAAGATGCTCAGATTCTTATAATCTAGCCAATAGCTCACTAATGTTCAGACTCCTTACAAGTCTGCCCAATGTGATGGATGTTCTAATAAACCTTGTCTTTGGCTGAAAGAAGGCTTGGTTGGAATTCTTTTGGGCAGGACCATGTGTTGTGATTTTGGTACCAAAGGGAGGCATCTCTAAATGTGAAATTTCAGATTGGTAAATGAAAAATGCAGTATTAAGGGCCTTCCTAGCACTCCTCAAATAACACCAAGAGATGGCTGCCTCCTTGACCTACACAGGAGGATGATAGCATTACCATTTCAAAAAAGCCAGCTCCCTGACCACCTTACACTGATTTTTCATGGACTAATGATACCAGTGAGTCTTTGAAAGAGTTTAATAACTTACTCAGGACCCAGTTAAATATCGACTGTCATGCTGATACACAAACAAGTCAATAAGAAACCATTACAATGATATTATCTCTGAAGCACTGTTATCTCTAGAGCCTATAAAAGAGGGAAAATCAAATGGAGAGACTGAAAACATATGTTATTCTTTGGACTTTCTATTCTGTTCATCCCATTCAAAACAGCGGCTCTTTCTGAAACATTCTCTTTATCTTATCTCTGGGAAAGGGTAAGGACACCACCTAGAACTGGGTGCATAGAACAGCTGGGAGAGCTGATTGTTAGATTTTCAGTGTGAGCAGTTACCCCTCAGAAACAGCAAACACAGTGCTTGTTTTATTGTTTTGTTCATTCATTGTCCTAGACTTAAGAAAGTGATGGAGAACATGTTAATTGTTCAGATTAAGTTTAAAGATATGGCTTGTATACATTTTTTCCCAAGAGAGTCAGTTTTAAAATATTTACCATCTAATCCCTGAGCTCTGGTGCCACAATCAAAGTCTGTTACCACACTTGGGAAAAAGGAATTCATTTTAGGCAGGAGTTATGCCAAAGAGATGAAATTGGTTGTTTAGACTACAGGGTTATGGAGGCCAAGGTCACAGACTGCATCCTGATATGGCTCAGTTGGATTCACCAAGAAGAAAAATTCTGTTCCCCTAGCTCATAAGCACAGCCTTGCATGTAAGAGAACATAAATGGTACTGTGCAAACTACCTTCCTCCTGAAAGAAAACAAAGGAAAAGAAAAAAAAGAAAAAGAACTTAAACCAAGCGATAGAGTGTCAGGAGTGCCCTCTTCATGAAAAGGGTGACAGTTACTAAGATTTTACAGAATGAAAGCTGAGTCCTTCTAGGGTCTGGGAAATGGGTGACCATTTTAGACACATTCAGGAGTCTGGGACCCTAGGATCTGTAACTGGAAGAAAGCTAATGAATCACTTAGCCAATAGTGTCCAACTCAAGTAGAAAACAGATCCCTACAGGCCTCATATTGACTTAGAAAACCATAAATTAACATCATCTCTGTAGTGTTGTATTTTATTTATTTTGCTAAATATTTATCAATTACATTTTAATCTGGTTTGTGCAACAGGGGAATGCAGGCTATGGACCACAAGTTTGACACTTCTGTCCAACTCTTTTATTTAACAAATGAGGAAACTGAGGCCCAGAGAGGTTAAAAACAATTTGCCTAATATGGAGCAGCTTATAAGAGAAGAGTCAAGATTCCACTCCAAATTCAATGATTTTTGTTTTTTTTACTTTGAAATGCTATGGGAATATTCACATCTCATAGAAACTAACTGACATGGAAATAGGGAGAGATTAAATTTTAAAAATAATTAATGTCTTTTGTTTTCATATTATCATTCTTTCCCCAAACATATCCCTTCCATTTCCCCTACCCAGAGAGCTATGTCTTGAAACACAAAGGTTGGAAAGAAAGGGAAAAAAATGCTATTTGGGAAAATTAACCAAGTCATCAACATTAAGCAAGTCTCTTTGCCTTTCTGAGACTCAGTTTCCTCATCTGTAAAGCAAGTTCCATTCAACATAACTCTAAGCCTATGATCTCCTTTCAAGTGTCTGGAGTTTTGGTGTTTTTTATTCTTTTACTGTGTTCCATATGAAAGATCCTAAAAGTCAACATTCTCTTTAGTCCATAAACTTTGAACTATTTAGGTTGTCCTGAGATTCTATCTCTAGCTACATCACAAAAGACAACAACCATTCTTCATCTGCCTGAAGGCAAGGAATGAATTTTTTTGTCAAGGGAATATTTCCAGCAAGTGGGGCAGCACATAGCCCAAAATACCTATAATAAAGGACTTCCAGGCAAGCCAAGCAGCTTCCATCCAAGCCAGGTCTCTGCCCAATTATTGAGCAGTGGACTTTCAGAGGTAGGGTTATTGTTGTTCATTGATGTAGGGTTGTTGTTGTACATTCATTTTCAGACATAACCAACTCTTAATGACCAGCTCATTTTACAGATGAGGAAACTGAGGCAAACAGAGCCAAGTGATTTGCCCAGCAAGTTCAAATCTGAGGACAGCCCAGGAAGATGAGTCTTCCTGACTCCAGGCCTGGTGCTCTATCCACTGTACCACCTAGCTGCCCTGAGGTAGAATTATCAAGGAGATAATAGAGCAACCAGAAAATGGAGAGGACACAGACACGAGGCATCCTGAAATATTTCTACCACCACAGTCTGAAATTCACAGATCAGTCACTCTTTGGGATGATCGCATTTTCAGCCACGCAAATGAGCAGTTAGGTGGAGCAGCGGATAGAGCGCCTGTCCCGGACTTGAGTTCAAATGTGACCTCAGCTGCTTACCAGCTATGTGTCCCTAGGCAAGTCATTTAACCTTGTTTACCTCCGTTTCTTCATCTGTAAAATGAGCTGGAGAAGGAAACGGCAAACCACTCCAGTATCTCTGCCAAGAAAACCCCCAAAGGGATCACAAAGAGTCCGCCATGACTGAAAATGACCAAACAACTACAACAATGGGGAACAGGGGAATAACCATGAGAAAAGAAGCTCTAGCTCTTCTACATGTGACTTTCCCTGAGTCACTTAATTTCTTTGGGCTTCATTCTCCTCATTTGTGAAATGAGGCTAAACCAGATGACCTGTGGAGTCCCTTCCAGATCTAATTACAACAATCTTTGAGCATGGAGGGACAAATGTAGAGCTACCACTGCTCCTCTGAGAAAAGAAAGGGGTTTTCGTTGTTGTTGTTGCTGTTGTTTTTGGTGGTGGTGGTGGTGGTGGTGATGAGGGTGGTGGTGGTGGTGGTGGTGATGAGGGTGGTGGTGGTGGTGGTGGTGGTGGTGGTGGTGTGAGGTGGTGGTGGTGGTGGTGGTGGTGGGGTGGTGGTGGTGGGGTGGTGGTGGTGGTGGTGGTGGTGTGAGGGTGGTGGTGGTGGTGGTGGTTCTTTGGCCAGACCTGTGATTTCAGCATTGTGAGAGAACTTTCAGTGTTGAAATTCCCTCCATTCATGAAGTTTAGCAACACATTTATAATTTAGGGACTTATAGAATCGTCAGGGGCAGTGAGAAGTTAAGTAACAGCCCAGAGGTCACGCAGCTAAATTATGTCAGAGGCAGGATTAGAATCCAGGTCTTCCTGACTCCAAGTCCTTTTATCTCTTATATCACAATACCTCTCAAAAGAGAAGGTACTCCGTAGTACTCTGAATATTTCCTGATATCAGCCATGGCACAGAAAAGCACAGTAAGAAGTATCCATCTGGGATAGTAGAATGACTATTAGATTTGAATCTAGAGACCTGGATCCTCTGCCCATCATTAGTTGGGTGATGTTGGACAAGTCACTGAAACTCGTAGTGCCTATATGAAATTACTTTGAAAACGACAAAGCTTTATATAAGTGGCAGGTATTATTCTAATATAGAGCAAGTTCTTTCTGCCTGGTTGCTTGTAGTTTACTCTGTGGAATAATTTGATTTGATTTAATTTGATTCATCCATGTAAATCATGAGGAATAAACAAGTGGCCTAAAGCTCTGTTATCCCCAAGAACAACCTCTGTGGCACTCAGAAGTTACATAAAGTCCCTCTAATGAAACCACACAGCTAGATGCTAACTTATTTTGAGGAAAATAAACCTCTTTGGTGAGTAAGAAAGAGGGCAGCAGGAGAATACATATATTTTAGATTAAGAAACACAGGCAAGGATCATTTTCTGGAGATTCCTGTGGCTCCCATCAATATCCCCAGGTGTCAGATGGTTGGGAATGCAAGGGAATGGAGAGGGCACAGACATAATCTGAAATTCACAGGTTAGTCAATCCTGGGAATGAATGTTTTTTCAGCCTTAGGTAAAATGTAAATGGGTACCTAGGTGGGGAAGTGGATAGAATGCTGGGCTTGAAGTCAGGAAGACTCATCTTCCTCAGTTGAAATCTTGCCTTAGATACCTAATAGTTGTGTGACCCTGGGCAAGTCACTTGACCCTACTTTCCTCAGTTTCCTCATCTGTAAAGAGAGCTGGAGAAGGAAATGGCACACCACTCCAGTATCTGTACAAGAAAACCCTAAAAGGAGTCTTGAAGAGTTGGAACAACAACAACAACAAAATGTAAATCTGTTATCTAGGAGGAGGGACATGTTAAGCCATTGAATAATGAACAGGAAAGGGAAAGAACACATTATAGGGCAATATCTAGGAAGAGTGAGCCTGGGTGGGCCCTAAGGAGAATCTTGGAAGCCTGCAGTCTTATTTAAGGAAGCTGTGCCCCTAGAAGAGAAGCTGCACAAAGGAAGAAGGTGGGGTGGAGGCCCATCGGTGATACAGTATCCATATCACAATTTTTTCTGGAAGTAACTAGAAAGCTGA